GGGTTCCAGACGCACCGGTTTCCCGAGCTGCGTCCAGCCGTCGCGACGAGGGTCCCCCCCCCTTCCGAAGGCTGCCGCTGTCTCAACGCGCCCTCTTACGTGCTCAGCCTCGAGGATGGGAAACCAATCAGGAGGGGAAAGAACACAGAGACACAATTAATCGTCGACTCCCCAGAAAATATGGGAAAATATGGGAAGTGGTGGGGAAGACAAAAACCCAGAAATATTGGAAAATATGGGGAATCGTTTTATTTGTGTGTACTTATTTGTGTGTCCCAGGGACCCTTCAACCAAGAGGTACCGATACTGCTACTCCTCGGACCTTTCCAAGGGTGCGTCCTGATACGAGCTTCTGGGAGAATGCAGCCGTGTCGGCGAGGGCCTCCCAGAAGGCGCAACAATCAGGAGGGACAAAAACACACAGAAACAAGTAATCGTCGATTCCCAAGAAAATGCGGGAAAATATGAGAAGTGAGGGGGAAGACAAAAACCCAGAACATATGGGAAAAGATGGGGAATCTTTTTCTTTGTGTGTATTTATTTGTGTGTCCCAGGGCCCCTTCAAACGAGGCGGAGGCGTATCGGTACCGCCCTGCCTTCCTCCGAGAGGAGGGGCAACGATAGGGGGGACTGGCTAAGGGGGGGGGGGGAAGCATCGAGCTTGAATCGGCGATGCATCGCCGATGGATGGGCGATAGGCCCCCGATGGCGAGTCCGCAGGGTCCTGGGCGGGGCGAGCTCTCGGGCCCCTGTCGGCGATCACAGGGCAATGCGGGGTCGCATCTCCCCCCGGAGCTCATCCGCCGAACGGACCACGGCAATCCGCAGTTTCCGTACGCCGAGCGGGCGCGCCAAAAGACAAAATCCTGAAACACCTCCCACGCAACCAGCAGAGTGAGCCGGCGCGGCGCCGCCGAAAGCGGGCTCAGAAGGGAGCACTACAGGGTGGTCTTCTTGCTGCAGGTGTCGGGTCAGAACTCGGGTCTCCGGCGGCCGTTCGTGGCGATCCCCGGGGGTGGGGGGGCGGCGCGAAAGCGGGAAGATAATCGCGCTTCGCGGAGCGCGGAGCGCGAAGCGCGAAGGCAGTTGCCCTAGCGAGACAAGACACGGCGGGCAGCTTTTGGTCGTTCTCGCCCCCCATGGGGCCCTCGATGGGCCCAGGGACCGTCGGAAGAGGACATGGGATGAGAGATCGGCACCCGGGAAAGGGTCGGGACTTCCGGGGACCTCGTGATGAAGTAGTCAAGACCTCCCTTTCCCCCTCCTCCCTCTTCCTGCTCCCTCACTTCTCGTCGGACGGCGGTATGAGATCGAGGTCGGTTCGGCGAGGGCACCCTGGTGTTTTTCGTGCTTGTTGGATGGTCTTGTGCATCCTGGGGAGGGTACCCTTGGATGTTCCATGTATTATGGCCGACTGGGGGTCTCACTTTCTTGAAGGATGTTCTTCTGGCCCAGGTCCGACTGTATCCCTCCTCCTCCTCCTCCTCCTCCTCCTCTTCATCCTCCTCCTCCTCCTCCTCCTCTTCCTCCTCCTCCTCCTCCTCCTCCTCCTCCTTCTCCTCCTCCTCCTCCTCCTCCTCCTCCTCCTCCTCCTCCTCCTCCTCCTCCTCCTCCTCCTCCTCCCCCTACCCCTCCCCTCCCCTCCTGAGCGCTCCTGCCTCGTACTCTCCTTCCCGCCTTTCCCTTCCTCCTCGTGGCCCTCCCGAGCTTTCGGGGCAGAGCGGGTTGGGACAGGGGCAGCTCGAAAAGCCAGTCAGCTGGAGCTGGAGGAGGAGGAGGAGGAGGCGGGGGAGGAGGAAGGAGGAGGAGGAGGAGAGGAGGAGGAGGACGGGGGAGGAGGAGGAGGAGGGAGGAGGAGGAGGAGGAGGAGGAGGAGTCTGAGGATGAGGAGAGGAGGGGGAGGAGAGGAGGAGGAGGAGGAGGAGGAGGAGAGGAGGAGGAGGAGGAAAAGGAGAAGGAGAAGGAGAGGAGGAGGAGGAGGAGGAGGAGGAGGAGGAGGAGGAGAGGACGGAGGAGGAGGGGGAGGAGGAGGGGGGGGGAGGAGGAGGAGGAGTGAGGAGAGGGGGAGGAGGACGAGGAGGAGGAGGAGGAGGACAAGCGAGGTGCGCTCGCGTCATATCTGACATCCTACCCCTCCCTCCCATCCCTTACCATGGCGCAGATCCCCTCTCTACTCGCACAGTCGGATGTCGAGCAGGGCAATGATCTCGAAAGGGTACGCGATGCATTGTTAAGCACGGCATGGCATGGCGTAGAAGAGCACCGCGAAGTGTAGTATCAACCTAGCATTGCATTGCATGCCGTGGCATGCATGGCACGGGAAATGACGCCAGCGCTGCAGCGGGAGCACGAGTCGAAACGAGCGGAAGCGCGGAAATGAGGCCCGCGCTGCAGCGGGAGCACGATTCGGAACGAACGCCAGAATCGGCGCGGGAGGCTTCCCGGGCGCCAGAAGCAGAAATTCAGCATTTTCAAAAGAAACATGTGTATTGGAATTGCC